ATCGAAGTCGCCCCGCCCGCCCGTCAGATCGGCTCCGCCAGCGCCTCCCGCTGCTGGCCCGTCCCGATCCAGTCGCCAGCGCCCTCCCGAAGCTGCCTTGATCTCCCGATCGCCCCGATCTCCCGCTCGCCGCTGCTCCCGCCCCAAGCCAGCGCCTGATCCCGATCTAGTCGCTCTCGTCGGATCCAAAAAAAAATGTTTCACATGCGTGGCATCCGTCTCTGGGGTGTTCTTTCTGGCGAGGTCTGCTGTCCGCCACGTCCAGTTCCTCCGGTGGCCCCTACTCCGCCAACTCCATCGGTTCTTCCTACGGATGCTAATCAGGTCGCCAAGGATGCGACTAAGCTTGCTGATGAGGCTGCTGATCGTGCTTATGATGAGAGGGTTTTGGCTTATGAGGAGGCTCTTCAGACGTATCATGGTGCTCTGTCTGTTTACACCCAGTGGCTTGATGATGATGCTCGTGCTGCAGCTGTTCTCACTGCTAGTGTTCTGCCTCAGTTTGCTTCTGAATTTCTGGGTCTTCCTACTGTCTTTGAGATGTGGACCCGTCTTCGTAAGCGCTATCAGCCCTCTGGTGATGCCTTATACCTCTCTGTGATCCGTCAGGAGCATGCTCTTCAGCAGGGTGACTCTACTGTTGATGACTTCTATGCACAGAGTTCTGCTATCTGGCGCCAGCTTGATTCTCTCCGTAGTGCTGGGTGTCGTACCTGCCCCTGTTGCCAGGCTGTCCAGGCCAATTTGGAGTTTCATCGCGTCTATGAGTTCCTGTCTCGGCTCCGTAAGGAGTTTGAACCCCGGCGTGCTCAGGTGTTTGCTCGTGGCCGTATTTCTCTCATGGAGGCGCTTTCTGAGATTCGTGCTGAGGAGACTTGCTTACGTGGTGCTGGTTTGCTGGAGGTTCCCTCTGTGCTTGCTACTCGTGCTCCTACGCCACTTGCTCCATCGACCACTTCTCGCTCGAGTGCTCCGCCGCTCTTGCCCACTCCTTCTGGAGGCTCAGGTCGCCCCCGTCCACATTGCGCCTATTGCAACAATGATGGTCATCTTGAGTCTCAGTGCTACACGAAGAAGAAACACCTGCGCAAGGCTCGATCATCATCTTCAGGGACTTCGTCATCTACCTCGACAGCTTCAGCCATTGCTTTGACTGAGCAGGATATTCTGAGACTTAAGCGTCTGCTCGCGGCTTCAGGTTCTTCCTCGACGGGTACTGCCGGTTCTGTGACTGATGCTTCCCGCACTGAGCAATCACCCTCTACACAGTCAGGTACATCCCCATGGGTTCTGGACTCTGGAGCTTCTTTTCATGTCTTCTCATTCCTCCACTTTGTCCTCTCTTCGATCACTGGATTCTCCTATTCATGTCTTTACTGCTGATGGTACTCCACTTTCTGTTACTAGTAGAGGCAATCTTACTACTTCTTATTCTGTTCCTGATGTTGCTCATGTTCCTCGACTTACCATGAATTTGTTTTCTGCTGGTCAACTTACGGATTCTGGTTGTCGCGTCATCCTCGACGTTGATTCTTGTTCTGTCCAGGACCGTCACACGCACACTCTGGTTGGGGCTGGCCCTCGCCGCCGTGATTCTCAGGGTCTTTGGGAGTTGGACTGGCTTCATGTTCCTTCTGCTGCCACCACCATCGCCAGTTCTTCCGCTTCTGTTGTCTCCGTCACTGGTTCCTTCCAGCAGTGGCATCATCGACTTGGTCATCTGTGTGGTTCTCGGTTGTCTTCTTTAGTTCGTCGAGGCCTTCTGGGGTCTGTCTCAGGAGATGTCTCTTTAGAGTGTCAGGGTTGTCGTCTTGGCAAGCAGATTCAGTTACCATATTCACATAGTGAGTCAGTGTCTAAGCGTCCTTTCGATTTAGTCCATTCTGATGTATGGGGTCCGGCCCCTTTCGCTTCGAAAGGTGGTCATAAATACTATATTATTTTCATAGATGATTTCTCTCGTTACACCTGGCTTTATTTCATGACTTCTCGTTCTGAGGTGTTGTCTATTTATAAGCGTTTTGCTGCCATGGTTCATACTCAGTTCTCTTCACCCATTCGTGTTTTTCGTGTTGACTCCGCTGGCGAGTATATCTCTAAGATGTTGCGTGGTGTTCTTGCTGAGCACGGGACTCTCTCTCAATTCTCTTGTCCTGGTGCTCATGCTCAGAATGGTGTGGTTGAGCGAAAGCATCGACATCTTCTTGAGACGGCTCGTGCATTGATGATTGCTGCCTCTCTCCCGCCTCATTTTTGGGCTGAGGCCGTCTCCACATCCACCTATCTTATCAATATACAGCCTTCCGCTGCTCTACAGGGTGGTGTTCCTTTCGAGCGACTTTTTGATCGTTCTCCCGATTATTCGATGCTTCGCTTGTTTGGTTGTGTTTGCTATGTTCTTCTTGCCCCTCGCGAACGCACCAAACTGACCGCTCAGTCTGTTGAGTGTGTCTTCTTAGGCTACAGTGATGAGCATAAGGGCTATCGTTGTTGGGATCCTATTGGTCGTCGGATGCGTATCTCTCGAGATGTGACTTTTGAAGAGTCTCGTCCCTTCTACCCACGCCCATCTTCCTCGACTTTTTCAGTGCAGGATATCTCTTTCCTCACTTTTCCTGACTCACCTATCACCCCCGCCGACACTGTACCTCTCCGTTCCACTTCCTCTCCTTCTCCACATCTAGTTGATTTGCAGCCTCCATCCTCCCCGGTCTCCTCGCCTAGCATGTCACCGGGTTCTCCACCTTCATCTCCGGTGACTTCCTCCCCGGTCTCCTCTCCCAGTCTGTCACCGGATTCTACATCTTCATCTCCGGTGACTTCTTCGTCGCCACCCCCTGATTCTACCTTGCCGATTCCTCCTTCTATTATTCCATCTCTTCCTCAGCATTACACTCGTCGTCCACGACCAGTCGATGCCTCTGTGGATGGGTCGTCATCTTCCTCTCAGCCTACTTATGGCTTGCGTTCTCGTCCTTGTCCGCCTGTTGATCGCTTTGGATTTCCCACCGCTGGTGCTGCTGTTCTTGAGCCGACTTCTTACCGTCAGGCTGTTGTTCATCCTGAATGGAAGTTTGCGATGGCTGAGGAGATTGCTGCTCTTGAACGCACTGGTACCTGGGATCTTGTTTCTCTTCCTCCCGGAGTCCGTCCGATCACTTGTAAGTGGGTCTACAAGGTTAAGACTCGCTCCGATGGTTCTCTTGAGCGTCACAAAGCTCGTCTTGTGGCTCGTGGTTTTCAGCAGGAGCACGGTCGTGATTATGACGAGACTTTTGCTCCTGTGGCTCATATGACCACTGTTCGTACACTTCTTGCCGTTGCCTCTGCACGCCACTGGTCTATATCTCAGCTTGATGTTAAGAATGCCTTTCTTAATGGTGAACTGCGTGAGGAGGTGTACATGCAGCCACCACCTGGGTATTCTGTTCCTGATGGCATGGTATGTCGTCTTCGTCGCTCTCTCTATGGCCTTAAGCAAGCCCCCCACGCCTGGTTTGAGCGCTTTGCCTTTGTGATCACCGCTGCTGGTTTTTTAGCAAGTGCTCATGATCCAGCATTGTTTATTCACCTTTCTCCTCGTGGTCGGACTCTTCTTCTTCTTTATGTTGATGGCATGATCATCACGGGGGATGACCCCGAGTATATTGCCTTTGTAAAGGCCCGTCTTAGTGAGCAGTTTCTTATGTCTGATCTTGGACCCCTTCGCTACTTTCTTGGGATTGAAGTCTCTTCTACCTCTGATGGCTTTTTTATATCCCAGGAAAAGTATATCCAGGATCTTCTTGCTCGTGCTGCTCTTACTGACGAGCGCGTTGTTGAGACTCCTATGGAGCTCAATGTTCACCTCCGTGCTACTGATGGTGATCCTCTCCCTGACCCGGCGCATTATCGTCATCTTGTTGGCAGTCTTGTCTATCTAGCTGTCACTCGTCCGGACATCTCTTATCCGGTTCATATTCTGAGTCAGTTTGTCTCTGCCCCCACCTCGGTTCACTATAGTCATCTCCTTCGTGTTCTTCGATATCTTCGAGGCACGATCTCTCACCGTCTATTCTTTCCTCGCTCCAGTTCTTTACAGCTCCAGGCCTATTCGGATGCTACGTGGGCTAGTGATCCTTCCAATCGCCATTCACTTTCTGCTTATTGTGTTTTTCTTGGTGGTTCTCTCATTGCCTGGAAGACAAAGAAACAGCTTGCAGTTTCCCGTTCGAGTGCCGAGGCTGAGTTGCGAGCAATGGCTCTTTTGACGGCAGAGGTGACTTGGTTACGGTGGTTACTTCAGGATTTTGGTGTTTCTGTCACTACACCGACTCTACTTTTATCTGACAGTACAGGTGCTATCAGCATTGCACGCGATCCTGTGAAGCATGAGCTCACCAAGCATATTGGTGTTGATGCTTTCTATGTGCGCACTGCTGTGCAGGATCAGGTTACTGCTCTTCAGTATGTGCCTTCCGAGTTACAGTTGGCGGATTTCCTGACGAAGGCTCAGACTAGAGCACAACATGGCTTTTATCTCTCCAAACTCAGTGTTGTTCATCCACCATGAGTTTGAGGGGGGGTGTTAGAGTTATAATATAAGTCATGTACCCCTTTGTATTTATCCCGTTGTATGAGGGGTTTCCTGCATATGTTCCACACCTGTACATGTATATATATATCGGCCTATGGCCTCATGGGAATACAAGTTGCTTTCCTAACACTTTCCAGCCTCAAATAATAGCAATGCAGCACCTAATTTCCTTGTGCTATCATATTATCTGCGCTAATGACAAACAACAGGGAGCACAACCTACTAAATACTGCATCCTCATTCCTCATACTAAGTTACACAAATCAGACATGAGTATGCATGCCTACTGTATCAAGACCTAGAATCAAGCCATTGTTGTATAACAAATAGTAAATGAATCGAAAGCAGTTGTTGAAAATTGCCCAATGTGGAATGAATGGCAGTTTATCACAACTATATGTTTGAAGAAACTTTACCAGGATCTTCAAGCACGGGTTTGCCTGTTGCACACCAAAGAAGAAGGCCACGCCATGAGGTAGGGATGAGCACGGCTTGCACGTGCATCATCAAGTAGATTGTTAAGCTCTGCTGTTTCCAGACATAGGGATAGGAGGGACTCTGCTTGCGCACCATACTTAATAGACAGGTACACAAAGCCATCGATAACCACCTCAACCTGAACTCTCGCATCATCCTCTGTTGAAGACTTGGTGGCATCAACAAATTTACTCAGTGGAAAAGTATCTTCAAGCGTCCATTTCTCAACACCGTCATCATCTGCTCTCCAAACCCAAACAATAAGCATTCCTTTCTTTGCACCAGAGTCATCTGCGCCAACCATACAGAGCTTCCCATCCTTGGTGTGACCAAACCTAGATTGCATATAGTATCTCTCTCTCACTAACGGCGGCAAATCCACTCTAGAGAATTGTAGTGTCGTGGTGTTGAAAGCGACTACAGAGGCTCGAGTTGTCTGTTTCCAATAAATGAATCCTTTCATTGGCATACCAGGGTAAAAATGGCGAATGTCATCATCATCCTCAGGTTGTGGCGGCGGCGGGGTCTCGACCCACGGCAAAACCTGCCACTTCCTAGTGGTTGTTGAGAAGACAGTGATGTATGCCTCCACATGTGGTAACTGTGGGCGATGGTGTTGGACACAGACCATACGAAACACCCCCTGGTCCTCTTCCGAGAAGATAATGTGGAACTCAAGGAAGGAGGAGCGGGAGATCTCAATGGGCGGCCAGGGGATGAGATCAAGTGTTAGCGTCAGGGGGTTGTAGGCAACGATCTGAGCAGTGATCTGATTGATGAGTACAAGGTAGGGTCCATAGAAGCTCTCTAGATCCCACTCGAGAGAGGAACCGATGTCTTCCGAGAGGCGGGTGAGCGAGAGATCGGAGCCACGAACGGCGGCGGACATGTCGGGGACAGAGCAGTTGCGGAGGGGGGCAAAGTGAGGGACGATGGTGTAGATAGATTGAATGAAGAAGCCAAGGAGTTCGGGCGGGTGGAGCACTTGAAAGCAGCGGCGGAAGGCGGGGGACGAACAGATAGCTTGGAGGAAGGTGCGGCAGGCGAGGGCCACTCTGACGAGGCTCAGGAGGGATGGGAGGCGGAGGAAGATCTCGCAAAGGAGGTCATCACCAAGAGCGGTAATGGTGGTGAGAGCCGGTGGCAGGTGTTTCATCAGATATGGTGTCCCTAGTTCGGAAGTCATGGCTGTCGAGTTCGAGCTCGAACAACGACGATGCATTTTAGTTTTTAGAATGAAACAGCATAGACAAGGGAGGGGGGAAAGGAAGAAGTTGTTTTGTTTGGCACCAACAGTTTGATTTACAAGGGAATGGTATCAATAGTTATCGAATATTAATATGGATGCGAATCATATTGATATTGTGCCGATCACAAATATGGAAAGGATAAATATTGAATACGGTACAGTAATAAATATTTCATTAGACATTGCGTAGAAAAGAACAACATAAATAATGTTTGCACAATATGGAGACAACTGGAAAACTGCTAAGTTAGGATATCATTTACAATTATTTATTTCATTCTATTATAAGCATGCCATGCTTAAACCGATATTGACCTCTCACATATGAGCCCCAATGTCAATGTAATTATGTTGGATACACGTTGAGTGAAGCCAGTTCACAATATGTTGTGCGGAAAGATAAGCAGATGGCAGCTATCCAAGAACTATCTAAGATACTATCCAGTCAAATATCGGTCAGTGCCAAATACCATATCTATATATGCAACCAAAAATCAGAATCTGAATAGAAATCATATTATAGTAACTGATTTTCTTGCCACAGAATGTCTGAAGGCTATAGCTTGTATTGTCGGTTGGGAGATATCCATACCATACCAGTTTTGCCCCTGTCGCTAGGTCGTTTCATCCCAATCGCACCTACACAAAGGTCATCTTGAACCTCACCCTTACTGTGACACAGTTGAACAAGGTAAGGGTTAGGAGGTGGAAGGGCCAACGATGTCGGAGGAAAGACTGATACTCCCTTAAACTTAGAAGGATGACTCAACCTGAAGTGGACCCATGGTGGCAGCGGAGCGGTTGAGGCAAAGCACAGTCGGCCGCACAAGTGCGAGAAGATTAGTGGCGACAGTGTTCGCAACGCCACTGTCCGGGACATTAGTGTAGGAGCCAGCGATGGTTGTGGTGTGGTTGAGCCTCATACGCCCATCCACCTGTTGCCTCATGATTCACCCCCCGCAAAAAAAAAGGTGAAGAGCGGCAATGGTTGTCTACAGGAAAGTAAAAGAGAGAGAGAGAGGGAGAGCAGAGAAACAACTATCAGATTGGATGTCTACAGGGTGGTTGTATCCCAACTCCACGGATCAAAAAGCCATGGCTGGAACTTTGACGCCTTCTGTGTAACATGAAAACAGAATGTATATTTTCAGTGCAAAGCAATATTTTTGTCGATAGCACCCGTGCTGACTTCCTCAATCTTAATTTTCCACAACTCTGGTCGCAGTACGCTTTCTGTCAGTGTGCTGTGACTCGTGTTTTTAAAGAAAAGAAAAAAGTCAAAGCAGAAGGAAAATCTGGGAGAAAAATATGTGACGCAAGAAATCAAGGGGGCACAGGCCACAAATCTAAGGGCTCTCGCCAGCGGCAGTTCTACGCCCATGTACGGAGGGCGTTGCATGCTCTCCAGCGCCATGGCCATCCTCATTCAGAGCCAAAGTCCTCACAGGTTCCATCAACATATTAATGATATCCTAATCATGTAAGGGTTGCGGCTGAGGCGATCATGGCACAGAGGATTTCAGTTGCAGAGCATGTACCTCAGCAGTCAGCAGCAATGGTGACCGGAGAGCTCCCGCGTACAATTTGGGCTCACCCACATATTCAAGGAGAATCACACCTCGTCGCGAAGCAGCAATCGACCATAGATCCCCTTTTTCTTCAGGAGTCACATACCTCCTTTTAGAAATAATAGCAAAAAATGTTTGTTTAGTCAAACATCATATGTGAGCTAAGAAAATATTTGCTGCTGAAGTTTGAGTGCATCTAGAAAGAAAACAGTGTCTGCAAAAGAGGCCTCAAGGTGAACACAAAATTGGCCACATGCGAACACTGGAATAGCTTCTTATCTCCTTTTTTTTCTGTGACTGGGAACACTAGAATAGCTGATGGTCCACCAAGAAGAAAAATGGAGAAAGAAACTATGAACTGGAAATCAAAGGCTCGAAGCAATGAAGAGCAGATCCCGAAGCAGCTAGAGAGCAAGAAAAATACTGCAGTAGAAGAATGTATGGTCGGTGAATCCTGGAATCAAAGAGAGCAAGATAACTACATGTTGGGCCAACGAAAACTGTGATAAATGACTAGACGTTTTCTTACTCACTTTCATGTATCTCCACATCAACAGGTCAACAGCATGAAAAATAAAGAGAGAAGTCCATATTACAACCCTGAACTACCACCAAAGTCTAAGATACAACCCTGAACTCCAAAGCCGTCTAAAAATCAACCCCGAACTCTGAAAACCGGACAAAAACCAACCCTGGCATGGTTTTGACTCTGTTTTGACTGGTTTTGACCATTGACTGCCTAGTCAGCAGTCCAGTCAGCAATCCCAGTCAGCCTAGTCAGATAAATAAAAAAGATCATCTCTCCCAGCCAGTCACCTGTGGGACCCACAAAAAATAAAAATAAAAATCTCTCCTCAACCCAGCCCTGGGCAGAGGAGGGCAGCAGTGGAGACCAATGCACGGATGCTGGTGGAGCTCCGGCAAGGTGGCAGCGCAAGGCGGCGGCCGGAGGTGCTCTTGCGCGTGTGCTCTTGCAACTGAGTTCCTTAATGGAAAAGTGAGTTGAGTCAAATGATAAAAATACTGGATTGATAAGAATATAAATAGTGGACCCATGATAGACAACTACTCAAGATAAGAATAAAAGGGCCTGAAACTCAATCCACAGCAAGATAGCGTAAATTCCATGGCTTGCCCTCTTGCTAAACAGGAAACTAAAACATGACCTTTTCACAGCATCAAAAACTAAAGTACCAACGCATTTGTATAAAAGCTCATCTCATGAGAAAAAGTACACCATGATCACTCCAAACAGGCTAGTTCTCAACCGGCAAAGGTTTGGCCATAGACAAGATATCAACAACTTCCACTCATGCATTTCCCGTCAACTATCTTTCTTCCTTTTTCCTAAAGCTAACGAAGTCGACACTTATTCTCAATATAAGATCGCACAAGGTTGTCAGTTATGCATCATATGTAGTGATTTTGCTTGCCAGAGTTGTTATCATCCTCAATACAAAGTAAAAAGACCTCTACCTTCATGACTATTGCTTCATCGTCGTCAATCAAATTTGTGTGATTGCGGCGCTGTGACAAGAGCAGAGGGAGTTTCTTCTGTGCCCAAAGAACCAGCATCTTCTACACTGCATCCAGTAATCTTGGTTTGTCAATCCTCCTAAGGCACAAAAGGATATTTGAGCGTAAGTAAAGGATTCAAGTTTTTGACAAACAAACCGTGCAATGCTATAGAGTATAGATTCCAACGAGACAAGTTTAGCATCCACAAGAGTAAATGAAAATGAAATAAGATTCGTTACACCAATGTCATCTTATATGATGTGCCCAAATGGCAAATGATAGGGAGCATGACAAGCACTCTATATCCTTGTGCTACCATAAAATCTGCACAAACACATGCTAAACATTGCAACCTCCTACTAATATAAAATCTGCAATTTAACTTATGTACTATGAGTTACGTGAAGCAGACATGATAGTCTGCTACTTTATCAAGAATTGGAAACAAGCAATTGATGTCTAAGCAATAAATAAAAATAGTTGGCCAAAATTGTAAAATGTGTAATTAATGGAAGATTATCAAGACTATATAATAATCCAATACTCGCAAGTAACTTAACAAAATCTAAGGAGCAAACGTCTGAAAATACTTTACCGGGGTCTTCAAGCACGGGCTCACCTTGTTGCATACCAAAGAAGGAGGCCATGACATGATGTAGGGATAAGCAGGGCTTGCATATGTATCATCAAAGAGCGTGTTTAGCTCTGCTGTTTCCAGGCAGAAGGATATGAGGGACTCGGCATAATCATCATACTTAATAGACAGGTACACAAAGCCATCGATAACGGCCTCAATCTGCACCGTGGTATCATCCTCTGTTAAATACTTGTTGGCGTCAATAAATGTACTGAGTGGAAAAGTATCTTCCAGCATCCATTTCTCAACACCGTCATCATCAGCTCCCCAAACATGAACAACAAGCGTTCCTATATTTGCGTCGGAGTCATCTGCCGTAACCATGCAGAGCTTCCCATCCTTGGTCTGACCAAGCTTGAACAGCGTAGGGTCTATCTTTCCCAAGAAATGCGGCAAATTCACTCTAGAGAACTGCTGTGTCACGTTGTCGAGAACAAGTAGATAGGCTTTACTCTTGTGTTTCCAGTAAACGAATCCACTCATCTGCATACCAGGGCAAAAGCCGAACCAGTCGTCCCCGTCGTCATCCACAGGCTGTGGTGGAGCCGGCCATGGCAAAACCTGCCACTCCCTAGTGGCCGGTGAGAAGACAGCAACACACACCGGCACCTTCGAGATGTTCCGAAATTGGACACGAGCCATTCGGAACACCCGCTGGTCCTCCTCGGAGAAGAGGATATGGAACTCAAGGACTTCCATGCGGATCTCCTTGGGCCGCTGTGGCTGGGGGAACAGACCCTTGCTGAGGATCTCCCTGAGCGGCTGGGGAAAGAGATGCAGTGCCTGCGTGAGGGGGTTGTAGGCAGCGATCTGTTCGGTGACATTGTTGGCGAGGCCGAGGTAGCCGTCGTGGCAGCACTTCAGCTCCCAGCCGGGGGTGGAATCGCTGTCTTCAGGGAGGCGGAAGAGGAAGAAATCGGAACCGCTGACGGCGGCGGTGAGGTCGGGGTCGGAGCTTCTGCGGACGGGGACGAAGGGAGGGGTGGCTTCGCGGCCGGTTTCACGGAAGAAGCCAAGGAGCTGCGGATGGTGGAGCGCCCGGAATCGGCGGCGGAAGGCGGGGGACGAACGGACGGCGTGGAGGAAGGTGCGGCAGGCGAGGGCGGCGCGAACGAGGCTCGGGAGGGAGGGAAGGAGGAGGAAGATCTCGCAAAGGAGGTCGTCGCCGATATCGGTAATGGTGGTGGGTGCCCTCGGTGGGCATTTCGCCGGCGGCGGTTGCCCGAGCTCGGAGGCCATGGCGGCGGAGAAGATGAGGACGAGGGGGGCTGCGTGTCCCAGTTCACTCGACCGCGATGGGCAACAGTTGGGCCTGGACTACGGTATAATAGCCTGGGCCTGGGATGGGCTGTATTTTCTGTGGGCCAGCATCCAGCCATTGCAGTCTCTCTTCACCTAAAAAAAAGTTGTCTCTTCGCACCGCCGCCAAGCGGAGTGTAGGATCAGTAAGAAGGGGAAGAGGGAGGTGGCGATTACCACCGGCAGCCGCCATGAGAAGAGGAGGAGGCACGTGGGGCATGCGTTGACACGTCTATGTCGCTCCCCACGTCGCAGACTCGTGCAACGACAACAGACTGGTGCGGGTGCGCTGGGAGGCGACACGTCCGGCTCCTATCTTTTATGGGTAAGGCTGGTACTAGTGCATCACTTTTAGTCCCACATTATCGATCCACAACAGTTCACATCGATTTAGAAGTGTTTTCCTCAGCAAGGCTATCAACAAGAGAGCAGTATTGGATGCAATCTAGGTCTAACAGCGTGAGTAGGGGGGGGGGGGCTATGCTTGCCCTGAGCTGGGCACTAGGAGTGCATAGGGAGGATAGTGTTGCAATTCTTAAAAAAAAAATTTGTTTTTTCTGCCATGAAGTTCAAATGTATTGAAACGTATAAAAAATTAAAATGATAAACTTTGTTACATGAGTTGTTGGCACGATTGAGACAATTTTGATGGTTGCATATTTTGGAAAATTACAAACTAAATTTGGTGATTTATAATTCAAGTAATTATATTATGTAACTTTTAAACTAATACGTCTTTCCATGAAGAGGCATCGTCTCACCCAAGGGGTGTATCTTTCCATGAAGAGACGTTGTTCACCAACTAATGTGTCGTTCCAGGAAGATATATTTTTCACCAAGACAATGGTCTTTCGAACCAAAGGGTGTGACTATTCACAGGCACCAACTGTCATCTTTCAGCTAAGGAACGTGTCTTTCCATGGAGAGACATCATTTTAAAAAAGGTGATGGGTATTAACCAAAGGATATGAATGTTTGTATGCTCCAACTTTCAAGATTTAACGGACTTGATTGATCCTCTTTTTGGCAAAAGGCCTTGATTAATACTTGATATATAACTAGCAAAAATGCCCGTGCGTTGCAACGGGAGAATACAAGGTGCGAGAATTAGGCTGGTGGCATAGATATTTTATTGGTGCAATACTTATCATGTATTTTTTTACCATTAAATCACTCTTCTTTCTTAATTACAATATACCATGAATAATATTTGCTCTCCTCCGTAGCTCAAAAATAAATGATTCAAAAAGCTTTAGCGATTTAGTTCGGGAAATTAGCCAAAAAAGTTAATAGTACTCCCTCTGTTACCTTACGTTCTGGTGGTTCAAATTAAACTACCAAAACATCATATATTTAGGAATGAAGGGAGTACTTCTGAAATTATGTATAGAAAAACCTGCACCCTTGTTAACATGTTTGTTACCTCAAGTGAATTGTTTTCAGCACGGATCAACTCATAATCTTACTTGTACGTTAAAATGATGCTTATAAACCGAGATAATTTTTTAGAGCAGGTAAAAAGAATGTACATGGACTGCCAGTAGCATAATTGATGGTTACATGAAACATCTAAAAATTTAAGAATCAAACATGATCTAAGGAAGTGACACACATCTGCAAGTATTTAATAATAAAATCCATATGAAAGATGACCTCCATTCATTGAAAATTTGCGAGTTCCACTCCTTTGCTTCAATAGTAACGGCCACTTAGTCCAGCACACCCCCTTTGTCATAGATCAGTAGAAGGCAAAAATGGATACACATCTATATGGGCCTACTCCTATCATAGTTTATACATAGCAACAAATTGAGATTACATATGGCTACACAATAAGATTCCTTTGCATCATCGTGTTCTTACTTTGAAATATGGTAGCAGTAAATTGAAAGATTCTAATGTGTTAGTTTTGGCACAACGGGCTTCGGTCTCCTTGACATCCATCTGCAAGCAATTTTTGAATCATCTCTGGTACACACCATGCGCATAGTTAGCGTGATTATAGCATTGTAGGCAACAAAAAGGAATCCATATGTAATCTGAATCTTCACTGAACGTTTTAGGTTTGACCGTCCAAGACCTCGATCACACAAAATTTGACAGCTCAAACTTTTACCCTTACCAGTTTTCCATCTTCCATGGCAAATCCACCACATACTTGGCTTCACATTGAGATGGTTCACTACCTTCATCTCACACGACTTGTCACACTACATATCCACGAACCAATCCAGTTAATGTTTGACGACTGAAAAAAATTTAGAGTAAATCGACAGATGCATGAATAAATCAATCGATGCGTTGCAACGGGAGAAAAAAAACATCACAAACACGCCACCAAGCTCTAGCACCTTCGCCTACGACATGGCAATCAAGCATACTCAACGCCCATGCAATGGGCCCCACAATGATCTTGCACCCTTGCGGCTCAACCGGCGACGTCGGCGGCGGGTCAAGGCAGCAGCAGAGCAGGCGCGACACGGATGCCATGAGCTGCTCGGCCACCTTTCCTCAAAATACAACACAATAGCAAAGGGAACTTGGCTAGAGATGCACTTGAACACTTAGCTGCAATAGAGATGATTAAAACTTTGAAGAATACAAATTTGGATGTCCGTTACAGTGGGAGATGCAGTGTATATGACGGTGGAAACGGGCAAGGAAAAAAATAGCAAATGATTAAATGTGTTTTTACCTTCTGACAACATCATTTTGCCCTACATCACATATAGTAATGATGTCACAAGCATGCTCTTGACGAGAACCATTCACATGTGCTAGCGACCTGAAGAGGATGGAGAAAAGAAGGGCAGAAGAGGGAGGCTTGTATCTATCAAGACACCAACATATACTTCAAGCTTTGTCAAGATACCAATAAGAGTAAAATCACTTGAAGCTAATACGCAACCTTATAGCAATATACTGCACTGAGTATATCCACTATCATCTCGTCCAGCTGTTCAGGTGAAGTGAGTGCCAGTAGAACAATGACCTACGGACCACAAGAGTTCCAAAGCACCATTAATCAGAACATGTACAAAGAAACAAAGGAGTAATCAACAGCCAAAAATAGGCTAAATTACGAACCTTAGAATCAGGGCATGGAGTTCAAGGGGAAACTCCTCCACACCCTCCTGGCAGGAGTTGAGCACGACCGCGGACTCATCGGGGTCGTCGAAGCTGCAGAACCTGCTGCTGCTGCTCGACGTCGACCTGCTGTCCCTTGCAAAGTATTATTCTGAACACGCTGTGGAACGCCCATCTGAATTTCCATGATGGCACCAAACTAAATGTAAGTAATATTGTTGTAGGAAATACAGGAGTACTCCAAGAGTGCTCTGTTCATCTGATGGACTGTGTGTGTGCCAAGAGCCATGCCAAGCTGCACATTTAGTATGCATAGGACCTTGATTTCTATGCCACCGCGTCGCAAAGACTGCAAGCTGCATATAAAAGAAATTGCATTTTTCCTGTCCTGAGATTGGAGTCAAGATCTGGATCAAAATTACATTGTCATATTTTTCTATAACTGAAGCTAGATTAAGTACACTGCCTGCTACCGCGGGCTATAAAGAAAATTGCCCAATGTCACATATCATACGAAGATTAGTTCATCAATGTAGGACCGGCCGAATGTCGGTGTATCATAGGAATCATGTGGTGCCTTGGGGCTCATGCAGGGGTGTTGAGAGTTAACCCTTCAGCAAAACAGAGAAGATGGCGATAGGAAGAGAATAGTTGGCAAATTCGACTCCTTTCCTGAACCCGATGGCTACATGGAAGGTAATTTCCTTTTCTAGCAGCTGGTTGTACAGCTATACTAAAACCATTTGAATTGGCTTCCGTGTAAGTTTAACATGTTACTTGAACAACAAGATTAAAATAGCCTATTGTTTAAGGTTCTAGAGAAGGTTGAACAGCAACGATGCAACATAAACCCAACTATTTCATGAGCACAGTTAGTCTATGTAAGTTAAGCCACACATCCTGATACATTAACAGGCAGTGGAAACAGGCAAAAGTGTCCAAAGTTGTTGTCTACTTCGAGCTACTTGCTACCCACCATTGATTGATGAATAAATCATTTTCTTACCGCGTGCAAGATGGTCCAGGTGTTTCATCATCTTTGCTTGCAACGTAGAAGATGCTCCTGGTCCAGGCCGGTGATCGGGGCAGAGGGTGATGGAGTCAACTCATGGACATGGGCTGGGGAGGCCAATCAGCCCGCCAAAGGCTCCCATGAACACTCTGGCTGCACAAGAACACAGTTATACACACGTCAATGTGCAGAACATCATATTAAAATCTGTACAAAAGAACAACCAAAATTGTACAAACATCACGCACCAAGTTTGAAGACACACTGCACAGGACTTTGGGCTCAAGCGTTGAAACCAAACTTTAATATTGCAACTCAAGAAAAGGGAAACTGTGAGCAGATAAAGGAGCATTTACCAGCTCTTCCTATGGACGGGAACTGACTAAGAGATCTTGAAAATGTGAGATGTCTGAAGAAATTAAGTATGCCGATGATGCATCTGGAGCCCCTAACTAAGGTGAGGTTAGTTACAGACCTCCACTCCAATTTTACCCAGCGCCGCTCGTCCGCAGCCACCGGATGCAGATCCCCCTAGAATTCATTTTTTGCTCTTTGTGTGGTGTATACAGTCAAACTAACTAACATATGCGTTCAATAGTGATTAGAAGATACTTTCAGTCAGTTAGATGGATAAAGATCAAGCTTGGCGCCATAAAAATTGAGAGGTGAACTGAATATGCATGTTATCCTTCATTAATCACTCATATGATCGCTAGATCATCAATCCACCAGTACATGATTCAGGAAAGAAATCTTCCCTTTTCACAACAAAGATAGCACACTACCCACTTCCTTCTTTGTACAATGTACTGTATGTAGTAGTACAAAGCCTATACCTCTT